GCGTCAAGCAGATGGCGATTGATTGAGGAAGTTATTGAGTTGGGGGGAACGTTTATCCTAGGAAGTTGAAGATAAAAAGTAGGGAAGTGGCTGTTTATTCACAAATGTGATGTTTGAGGGAAAAGTCATGATTACGATGACATCAGTTTGCACTAAGAAAGAATGACTAAAATGTCCATTTCTATAATTTTAATCGAAAAGAACATTTTGGGGGACAATTTGTTGGTTGGGATTTTCGACAAAAACTAAAATCCAACCAAGAGAAAAGAACCCAAGAAAGTTCTTTGAAAAGGTAAAATTATCTAAGTCGACTACAGTTGCAGTCGACCAGAAGAGACCCTTTAAGTAGTTAATTGGGCCTGGAAACGTCAAAAATTCCAAAGAGTCCAGACCAAGCGAGCGAAGCGCTTTGGAGGGAAACATGAGTTTGAGTGGAGAACATGGGTTCATAAAGAGAAGTTGCAAAATATATGTGGCGTACACAGAAACGAAACTCGCTAGAAAGCAGTTATTATATGTATTATAAATAAAACACTTAGTGTATAGTGTTAGAGGTTCAAACTTTCACATTCCTATACGCTAGTCACTCAAAGTACCCAAATGAAAAGCATGTTCACCACTCAAACTTGTTTGGATACTATGAGTGACTAGCGTATAGGAATGTGAAAGTTTGAACTCATAACACTATACACTAAGTACTTTATTTATAATACACATATAATAACTGCTTTCTGGCGAGCATCATTTCTTTGTACGCCACATATATTTTGCAACTTCTCTCCACGAACCCACATTCTCCACTCAAACTCTTTTTCCCCTCCAAAGTGCTTCGCTCGCTTGGTCTGAACTCTTTGGATTTTTTGACGTTTTCAGACCCAATTAACTACTTAAAGGGTCTCTTCTGGTCGACTGCAGTTGTAGTCGACTTAGATAATTTCACCTTTTCAAAGAACCTTTTTGGATTCTTTTCTCTTGGTTGAATTTTAGTCCTTGTCGAAAATCCCAGCCATTAGTAATTTACTTTTGATTGTTTTTATTTTACTTTCTTTACAAGTTTAGTAAGTTTTACTTTAGAAAGTTATTTAAATCGAAATTAATATTTTTCAAAGAATTATGAATGTCGTCGAAGTATTTTTCGTTTTCAAGAATAAAGTTTGAATTAGAACACATGTCCTATGATCAATCTAGTCGATCTTATAAATAACTAAAGACTTTTAGTTGTTTTAAAAAGATTAGCGTTTGTTTATCAATTTTCGCGGTAAACAAACATCCCTCTATTCTTGCACGCGCCATCGGTATTGAGCTTGACGTAGTAACTTTGTGGAGATTTCCAACTAATTATAACCAATTTCTTTTCCACCTTAGATGTAATGGCATATTGACTCTTTGTTTCATAGTAATCCTAAACCATAACCGATAATGAGCCGATATTGACTACTTTTGTGCTCTTTGCTTACTCAAAAAGTACTTAATTTTTCATTCCAATATCAATCTAAAAGTATATTTTTATTACTAACAAAAATATTATGAAAGGTGAAAAAGTTGGAGAAAAGGAGGTGTATATAATAAAAACTTTAGCTTGGTCCATATGTGTACATAGGCCCAAGAAACAAACTTCCTCACTTATCTCTCTCAGTTTCAGAACACAGAATTTCTCTTTCGCAAAATTCTTCACCAAAATGCCTAGCGCAACCTTCGACCTAGGAGCCGTTCCCTTCAACCCCGACGGATGGGGCCCACTCGAATCCACCGCCGACGACTCCAACGTCCCCTTCGCCCCATTCTCCCGTTCCGACAAGCTCGGCAGAATCGCTGATTGGACTCGCAACTTCAACAACCCGACCCGATCCAAAAACCCCGCCGACTCCGCCTTCGATTTCACCTCCGACGCTTCCTTCCCTTCATTCGCCGATGACGACTCATCTTTCCGATTAGTCGACGGTAAGCCTCCGCCGCGTCCCAAATTCGGTCCCAAATGGCGATTCCAACGCCAGCTTCAGCTTCCTCAGCGCCGCGACGAGGAGGTCGAAGCTAAGAAACGTGAAGCGGAGAAAGAACGAGCTCGTCGCGATCGGCATTACCAGAATCGGTCAAACCCTAGCAACCATCGCCGTGAGCTTTTCAAATCGTCGGTTGATATTCAACCGGAATGGAATATGCACGACCAGATCCCGTTCTCCACTTTCACCAAACTATCATTCACTGTCTCTGAGCCGGAAGATCTTCTCCTCTGCGGTGCTGTCGAGAGTTACGATAGGTCACATGATCGAATCGCTCCGAAAAATGAACGTAGACTCGAGAGGTTCAAGAATCGTAACTTCTTCAAAGTTACCACCACTGATGACCCTGTTATTCGTAGGCTTGCGAATGAGGATAAAGCCACGGTTTTCGCAACTGATGCTATTTTATCAACTCTCATGTGCGCTCCTAGGTCTGTTTACTCTTGGGATATTGTTGTTCAGCGAGTTGGGAATAAGCTTTTCTTTGATAAGCGCGATGGGTCGCAGTTGGATTTGCTTTCTGTTCATGAGACCTCTCAGGAGCCATTGCCTGAGGCGAAAGATGATATTAACTCTGCGCATTCGCTCAGTGTTGAGGCTTCTTATATCAATCAGAATTTCTCTCAGCAGGTTTTGATTAGGGATGGGAAAAAGGTTACTTTTGATGAGCCTAACCCTTTTGCTAATGAAGGTGAAGAGGTTGCTTCTGTTGGGTATAGGTATAGAAGGTGGAAGCTTGATAATGATATGTATCTTGTTGCTAGGTGTGAGGTGCATAGTGTTGTTGATGTGAATAACCAGAGGTCTTTCCTTACTTTGAATGCATTGAATGAGTTTGATCCAAAGTATTCTGGTGTTGATTGGAGGCAGAAGTTGGAGACACAGAGAGGTGCTGTTTTGGCTACTGAGCTTAAGAACAATGCTAACAAGTTGGCTAAGTGGACTGCACAGGCTCTTTTGGCGAGTGCTGATATGATGAAGTTGGGATATGTTTCTCGGATTCATCCCCGTGATCATTTTAACCATGTGATCTTGGCTGTTGTTGGATATAAACCAAAAGATTTTGCTTCACAGATTAATTTGAATCCGACCAATATGTGGGGGATTGTGAAGTCTATCGTGGACTTGTGCATGAAATTGAATGAGGGGAAATATGTTCTTGTGAAGGATCCATCTAAGCCCCAGGTTAGGATTTATGAGGTTCCGCCTGATGCATTTGAGAACGACTATGTGGAGGAGCCAATACCTGAAGAGGAGCAAGTCCAACCAAATGCAGATGGTGCTGACGATGCTGATGGTGTAGAGGCTTCTGCGGCTAGTACCAATGATGGAGAAGATAAGAAGGTTGAGGGTCAAGCTTAAAAGGTAATTGCTTAAAGTCTAACTTGATTTCATGCTCTATTTTGTTTTATTAGTGTAATACGTGTTTGCACGACTTTTATTTGAGATGAGTTATGAAAATGATCATGGGGTGCTCAATCCGTGTTTCATTCATACTCATATGATTTTTTCCCCTTTTTATTATGTCATGGTGTATTTTGTCATTCTTATTTTTCGAGGTGAGGCATAGTCTTATAATTGCTATCTTCCTTTATGATTATGTAATTTATTGGGTTTTGTCAAGATTTTATATTGTGGTTGTTATGATCCTTGATATTTGCTATTGAAAACAAATGTGGCTTAATTGGTCTCAATTATGGTTGTGGGCTGGAGACTCCTAAAACTGTTAACTTGTGGAATGCAATTTAAAGCCTTGGTGTTCATTAGGATTTTATTTGCACATGCCTGTTTCAGTTCTGATTTCTGAAACTGTTTGTTTAAATTTCTAATCCATATTCCAAAAACTTCAATGATTTATGATTTTATTAAATTATTTGCTCACTTCCCCTTTTCAACCAAAACTTGTGTGCCAAGTGCATACATTATTTATATCCAAATATTCGTTGGTTGATTTTCTGTTGGTTGGTGTTCCTACTCATTGTCTACTTGTATTCAAGATATAATCCTGAACACTTCTCAAGTATTTAAGAATGCAGAGGTACATTGAGGATTGGGTGGTTGTCTACTTGTATTTAAGATATAATCCTGAGAATTTCTTAAGTAGTTAAAAATGGAGAGCTACATTGAAGATTGGGTGGAACAAAAAGTTGGAAATGACTTACTTAACTAACTTAGGCTACACTTGTCTCTTAATATTAAGATCTGAATAGTCCAGGTTTTTCTGAAATGATGTTCTGCAGGAAGTGCTCCTCTGGGAAATAATGATACATGTGCATCAGCACTGCTGCACACGTTTGCTTGAATATCAAGAAATTATGGACTGGTTAACTAATTTTATTTTCCTTGAAAACTTGAATAACTACACTATGCTCATTAAGATACATATGCTTGCAAATACATATGTTGGTATGATAGGCATGCAATATTTCTTAATTCCATTGCCTTGGCTCTATTTTGGCTGATGTGTATCTCATGATTGCTACTCTCATTTTGCTTGCCATTTATTTTGATCAAGATTTCTATGGCCATCATTATTTGGATATAAACTTTTGAGTTTCAGCCATTGGGCTTTGCTCTAGAGAAAAATTTAATATGTTAAATCTAGGTGGATAAGTGAAGAGCCTCGACCAGAGTAGTCGATAGGGGTGGATAGCGGTGCTATCCTGGGCGAGTGGTGCGGCACATAGGCTGGCAGCGACCAGAAAAGCCCTAGTGACGCAGTTCAGTGTTGCGAGCACTATTGGCCTGGAGTTGTTCTTGACTCGCTCTCCCCTCTGAAAAGCTAAAGTTATCCTTTAAATTGAAACTGTTTTAAGGGTAATTTTGTGTTTTACGCTCAAATATGAGCCATAAATTTGCTTCACCTTCCTCCCTCTCACTTTCTGCGCAGTCATCGTGATCAAAAGACAATGAAAAAATAGCATTCTTCTCCTTCCTTCCTCAGTCACCGTGTTCCTCCATATCCATCATCAACGCCGCCGTCCTCCCTTTCAGCTGCTATCATCGCCGTCCTCCCTCTTCAGTTGGCTTTTCTGTTTCTTCTTCCTCATTCAACTCTCTCTTCTTCTCTTTCTTCCTACCTCGGCTGCCATCATCGCTGTCTTCTTCAGTTGGATTTTCCTGTTTCTTCTTCCTCCCTCCACTCTGTTTTACTGCACTTTGTATTTCATCTGTTTTTATTTTCTTTATTTTAATTTTACTGCAGTCTGTTCTTATTTTATTTCACTCTGCTTTTATTTCATATGTATTATTCACACTTTTATTTTTATTTTTTCTGTTTTTACTTTGTTCTTTATTTTATTTTTACTGCAATCTGTTTTTCATGCAATCTGTATTAATACTTTTGTTTTTATTTCCAAAAAATATCAAATAGCGATAATCATGCTATCCCATTTTTGGGATCGGCCGCCCCACACTGCTACCTGAAAACTTGTGGGTTTAATAAAAGACTTGTTCTACAAAAGGTCTGATCGAATTGGGCTGTACCTTTCTAATGCCACTTGATATATCATAGGGTGCAATATTTTAACATCATCTATTTTTCTCTTCCATTATTACTCTCCTTTGATTAAAGCTCTGTATAAGAAGGGTGTGTTTGTTTCCTGGGAATAATACTACCAGAATGTTGTAAAATGAGATGGGCGATTGAATTTAGAGCTGGTTGAGTTTTATTCCCATGTGATTGATAGATACTCCCCCTTTAACTTGAGAATAAAATGTGAGCAAACCATGAGAAATAATATTCTAAAAATAATTTGTTTAAACGGAAGTAAAGTAACAAACATGAGAATGTTGCTTTTTCTTCACTTTCTTTTGAATAATATTGCAATACTTGAAACAAACACACTTCAAGGCTTTTATAGTAGTTTTTCTTGACTGTTTTTGGATCATGGCCATTGGTATCGATTAATGAGTTCACCAATTAGAGTTATTGATTCTGTTTATTCTTTATAGTTTATGGGATATGCAAAATATTTTAATAACAAATCATGAATGACATTAGCAAGTATTAGCACCCGAATTAAGTTGCTGAATCTTAGGACTCTGTTGTCAATATCGGCCGGAGCAACGCTATATCGGTGAGGCGGGGGCTTGCTGCCCCCAGACGCCTTGTGTTGTCTCAGATGGATGGAGTGGCACCATGTGAAGGAAAAAAAAACTCATTTGCCCTTAAATTCAGAAATGTTGCAGGGGTAATTTTGGGTTTCGTCCCCAAACAAACCCTAATTTCCCATGTAAAATGCAAAGCACTGTTTTGCTCTGTTTCTTCACTCTTGCGCCGTTCTATATCTCTGCCTTGCACCCTCAGCTTCTCACCCTTTGCTTCACAGCTCTGCCATTCCATATCTCTGGTTTGTTCCCATCACACTTTCCTTTTTTCTGCCTCTGTTCAGTTGGGTTTCAATTTTTTTCTTTCTTTTTCTTTCTTACTGTGTTTGTTGATTATTTTCTACAAGAGGATGTGTTCATTTTTTACCCTCCTAATGTAAAATGGATACGCGGCCTCAATTTCTTCTGCTATTAGTACGTGAGGAATTTTTAGGGCCAAAAATAAGAGGATATTAAGAATTAGATTTTCATGATGCTTAAACTTTTATTTGAGTTTTGATGTCTAGTTACTTTAAGGTTTAGAGGCCTAGCTTGTTTGTTTCCATGAAGTTTTTTGGTATATTTTGGTCTCAGAAGGAGATTAAGTATGCTTTGCTTAAGATTGAGGCTTTACTTCTAGTTATGATTACTTCTTGAATTTTGATTTATTTAATTTTTCAGAAACTGTGTTTACAAGTATTACTTCTATAATAGGTCCTAAATAGATCAAATAGATCAGAAATCAATGCATGCATTTAAATGTTGTTTGATGTACACAAGCAATAATTTGAATTTGTTTTGCTAATATATTGTATTATGTACCGATAAATAACATGTTACATTTTTTGGATGGATGCAGGTCACTTGTTTATGGGATTGATGACTATTCACTTGGTAGCAGAACTACTCTCAGAATCAGTTTTACTTTGCTTCTATTTGTAGAACAATTTTGCGATTTAACTTTTCTTGAAAGCACACTGTCTTTTGAGTCACAAAATTTTGGGTTTTGTGATGTAACATCAGTTTTTTGGTTTCCGTTAACCATAATACAATATGTTTATGCTCTAAAAATCTGAGCATATTTTGGAATCAGGATGTTTAAAAATCCCGGCACGGTTGGGAGCTGATCATCTTAGTACTGTGCTTAAGTTTGTTAGCTAAATCGTTGATTTATTATTAATAATACTCTCAGGTAGTTTACCTATTTTTTGTGTTGCATCAGAGTGGCTTGAAATTTTGTTGTTGTTACAAGCAATAAAATGCAGAGAAAAGAAGCAAGGAAAAAGAGTAACAGGCAAAAGCAAGTAACCTTTTCAGAATTCAGATTCAGAAAAGCTAAAGGTGTTTCCTTTTCAAATTCATCTTAGCAAGATAATTAAAGCAAGTATTTCCTTTTGAAAATATAGGCTACCAATAATAACTTGATAACCTTGAGAGAATAATATAAACACATTATAGTTTGTTAAAATTTATTGGATAATAGCTAACCCTAAATTTATTGGAAATGTTATTCGCATGCACGGTTAGACACTCCTCGAGAATAAAATGTGAGTTAACTATGTGAAATAGTAGCGTTCTAAAAATAATTTGTTAAAATGGAAACAAAGTAACAATTATGAGAATTGTTAAAATTAAAAGAAAGGTGTAGAAGAATTGACAAGAGTTGAGCAGTCCAATAGTTACTTCTAAAAGAGTCTTGAAACTAGATCACTTATCCAAGTTAAGCAACACTTAACCTAAACAAAACTTAACCAAGTGAATTAAGTAAACACCACCGCCTAAAATAATGTTTTTTTAATTATTAAGTTACTTAATCATTAAGTGATAGGATAGGGTGTAACATGCCATTGGACCAAAGTTAACCGCCTATAGTTTTTTCTTCTTCTTAAATGACAGAAATATTAATTGTTTACCAGTTTTTATCAATTATCAAAAATATATGAATGAAAGAGTTAAGAAAATTACTTCCTCTTTGTAGAATTTAGTTTATACTTTAGTCTCGTTTGATATCAAATTGGTATCACAACCGGTTAGATTTTGTTAGTGTGAGTGTCAAAAATATTTTTGAGTGTGTAAGGAATAAAAATGCTTTTATTCTATTAAAAATTATTTTGAGTATTTTATGAAATAAATATGGTAAACAATTACAACTTTATTTGGTCATTGCAGAGTTAGATTTTAGTTATTGAGAAATTTTGATGACAACACATCTAAAAGTTCACAATGTTTAGAGTTTTGTGGATCTCAATTTACAACAAGGAGCTGATAAAGTTGATCGAAGAAAGGACCAATTGTCACTTTCACAAATTCATCAAGAAATTGATTATTTAGTATTTGGAAAAATTACAAATTCGAAGACTGCTAAAGAAGTATGGGACACATTGAAGTTATCCCGTAAAGGAGTAGAGAAGGTTCAGAAGTTCAAATTAATCGTTGCGTAGAAAATATGAAAGGTACAAAATATCTAATTCAAAAATAGTAGAATAATATTTTCTCGCGTTATAAATCTCGTCTACAAGATGAGAGTATATGAAGAAGATATTCCAGATAGTAAAGTGATAGAAAAGATTCTACGTACGATGTCAATGAAGTTTGATCATGTGGTGGCTACAATAATTGAGTCACACAATACAAACACTTTGTCTGTAACAGAGGAACAGGGAAGCATTGAAAGTCATGTCAACAAAATATTAGAAAATATCGAGAAAGTGGTAAAAGAAGAAGCTCTCAAGAGTCAGGTAAATTTCAACAACTCCGAGTCAAGCCGTACTCTAGAAGAAAGAAGTCAAAATAATTTCAACAACAGAGGAAGAGGAAATTATAAAGGCAGAGGCTGAGGAAATTATGGTGGAAGAAGACGTGGTAACTTTAACCAATGGAGAGAACAACTTCAATGGTTTCAATCCAACTCATCAAGGAAGAGGTGGTCATAGTTTTAGATCTACATATCATAGAAGAAGAAGAGATAACTACAATCAAGAAATGACGAATTATAGTTGTTATCAATGTGGAAAGTTTGGACATAAAGTAGCTGATTGCAGATACAAATATCAAACAAATATGGTAGAAAGTTTGTATCAAAATACCGGCGAGTACTTTGAAAATCCACAAAATTTATTTTTTGGCAAGTAATACATTTTTAGAAGAGGAAAATATTTAATATCTGGATACTGGGTGTAGTAATCATATCTGTGGGAAAAAGGAATTTTTTTCTTCTCTAAACGAAATGGTAAAGTCTTTCGTAAAGTTTGAAAACAATTCAAATATTCCAATTTTAGAGAAAGGCCGAATTTCTATCAGGTTGAAAGATGGATCACAAAACTTTATTGATGATTTCAGTAGAAATACTTGGGTGTATTTCTTAAAACAAAAATCAGAAGCTTGTGATGCCTTTAAGACATTCAAGACATTTGTAGAAAAACAAATTGGTTGTAGAATCAAAACATTAAGAACATACAGAGGCCAAGAATACATCACTGGTACAAGTTTATGAGAAACATGGAATTGAGCACCAATTAACAAAAAGATACACACCTCAACATAATGGAGTTGCTGAAAGAAAGAATAGAACAATCATGGATATGGTGAGATGCATGTTGAAGGCCAAACAAATGCCTAAGAAATTTTGGGTAGAAGTTGTTGTCACTGCAGTTTATATTTTAAACAGGTGTTCAATAAAAAGTGTTTGAGAAAAGACTCCAAAAAGAGCTTGGAGTGGAAGAATACCTTCAATCCGGAACCTTAGATTTTTTGGATGTATTGCATATGCTCATGTACCAGATCAATTGAGAAAGAAGTTAGATGACAAAGGAGAAAGATGTGTTAGAACAAGATTTGGTTCTGAATTTCATCTCTGAGTTTTGATGATAACAAATGAGTATGTTTGTATGAACAATTTTGATACTCTAATGTTTGTTATTTTTAAGATTTAACAAACAGGCTATGCTTCTGATGAAAGACACTATCAAGACATTAGAAGAGAATAAGTTCCGTTTCTAGCTACACAAGTTCTGATGAATAGTAGCAAAAGCTTCAGAAGACTCTGATATAAGTCCAAGAAACCAAGTTCTGAAGATCTGAAGACATAAGTTCTAACTGAAGTCCAGATGCTGAAGGCTTATGTTTCTGAAGACAAAGGGTTCTCAAAACCAAGTGCTGAAGATTTTGAAGACTTGAAGTTCTGAAGATTCTGAAGACTTAAAGTTATGATAGACAAAGGGTTTTCACACCTTCAGTTGGCATTAAAGCTTCGATTCTGAGGAGTTGATAAAAAGTTAGAGTTTTTATCAAGCACCTAATAGTGTTCAGTATCGATCCAGATAGTGTGAAAAACAATGGAAAACAATAATAACAATGCTACTATAACTGATGATAACAAGGATAATGATAGAGATCATTATAGTTCTAAACCTCCTATGTCTGATGGAGACAAGTTTGACTATTGAAAGGACAAAATTGCAAGTTACCTTCTGGAAAATGACTTGGATCTATGGGATTTGGTAGTTGATGGCTATACTCACCCAGTATATGATAAAGGTCTATAGATTGCCAGAAGTGCAATGATAGACGCTCAAAAGAAGGTTCACATAAATCATAACAAAGCGAAAACAGTTCTTATAAGTACTATTTCTTATAATAAGTATGAGAAGATCACATGTAAAGAGACTTCAAAGTCTAATTTTGATTCTCTTCAGATGACTCATGAAGGCAACACTCAAGTTAAGGAGACAAAAGCTCTGACCCTAATCCAAAAATATGAAGCCTTCAAAATGGAAGATGATGAACATGTGGAAACTATGTTTTCAAGATTTCAAACTCTTGTTGCAGGACTCAAGGTTCTGAATAGAGGATATTCTACGATAAATCATGTTAAGAAGATTATCAGAAGTCTGCCTAGGAAATGGAGACCAATGGTAACTGCTTTGAAGTTGTCATAGGATCTGAATAATACCAGTCTTGAGGAACTAATTAGTTTTTTAAGATGTCATGAGATAGAAATTGAACAAGATGAACCTCAAAAAAGAGTCAAATCTGTGTATCTAAAGTCTAAGTCTGGAAAGATCAAGGCTTTTCAAGCAGAAGAAGAATCTGAAGGATCTGAAGAAGGTTCAGATGAATTTTTTTGATATCTAGAAGGATAAGCCAGCCTTGGAAACACATATAGAGTAAGTTCAGAGGATCAAGAAAAACCAACGGTATATTTGAATCTACATTTGGTCAGAAGAAAGCTTATGGGAAAGAAGTTACATGCTATGA